GGGGGTCCATCCTGGACAGAGAGGAGGGGTCTACCTTGGACAGAGAGGCGGGGGCCACCCTGGGCAGAGAGGAGGGGGCCATCCTGGACAGAGAGGAGGGGTCCACCTTGGACAGAGAGGGGGGGGTCCACCCTGGGCAGAGAGGAGGGGTCCACCCTGGACAGAGAGGGGGGTCCACCTTCTACAGAGAGGGGGGTCCACCTTGGACAGAGAGGGGGGGGTCCACCCTGGGCAGAGAGGAGGGGTCCATCCTGGACAGAGAGGGGGGTCCACCTTCTACAGAGAGGGGGGTCCACCTTGGACAGAGAGGGGGGGGTCCACCCTGGGCAGAGAGGAGGGGTCCACCCTGGACAGAGAGGGGGGTCCACCTTCTACAGAGAGGGGGGTCCACCTTGGACAGAGAGGCGGGGTCCACCCTGGGCAGAGAGGAGGGGTCCACCCTGGACAGAGAGGGGGGTCCACCTTGGACAGAGAGGCGAGGTCCACCCTGGACAGAGAGGGGGGGTCTACCTTGGACAGAGAGGGGGGGGTCCATCCTGGACAGAGAGGAGGGGTCTACCTTGGACAGAGAGGGGGGGTCTACCTTGGACAGAGAGGGGGGGGTCCATCCTGGACAGAGAGGAGGGGTCCATGATCCTGGACAGAGAGGCGGGGTCCACCCTGGGCAGAGAGGTGGGGTCCACCCTGGACAGAGAGGAGGGGTCCACCCTGGACAGAGAGGGGGGGTCCACCCTGGGCAGAGAGGGGGGGTCCACCTTGGACAGAGAGGCGGGGTCCATCCTGGACAGAGAGGGGGGTCCACCTTGGACAGAGAGGGGGGGTCCATCCTGGACAGAGAGGCGAGGTCCATCCTGGACAGAGAGGGGGGGTCTACCTTGGACATAGAGGAGGGGTCCACCATGGACAGGCCTCCAGTCCATCGCAGGGCAACACAGAGACAAGCAGGACAAACAACCATTCACACCTAAGGAGAATCTAGAGAAGCCAATGAACCTAACAGTGTTTTTGGACTGTGGGAGGAAGCTGGAGTACCCGGAGAGAACCGACGCATGCTCAGGGAGAACTAACTTCATGCAGAAAGACCCCGGGCCGGGAATTGAACCCAGAACTGAGGTTACTGATCCAGTCCATCTTTTGGGATGTGTAAAGATTTTAAAGAAGCAAACATCTGCAATGATGGTGGTAACAGCTGATGTCTGCAGAGTGAACAGACAGCATCACCACTGTCCTTCAAAGACTGGCCACAATATTAGCTCTACTGGGGTTAGCAGGATGGAGGTTTTTCACCAGTCTTCACCAGTGAACTGTGTGTTTGATGGTTCCTACTGCAGATCAGAAGGAGACCAGGAAGGACTGCTGTCTGGAGATCTTCTCCCCCTTTAAAGGCAGGATTGGTTCAGTTCTGTGGAGAAACCCTGTTAAAGCGCAGGGGCTGAGAACTTACCTCTCTGTGAGCCTGCTGGATGAAGTCGCAGCAGTCCTGCAGGTACTGCAGCAGCTCGGTGTCGGGTTGATCCAGAATACTGATGGTCTTGTAGATGAACAGGTCTGGAAACACGTTCTCTACTCCGAAGGCCACATTGAGGATGTGAGAAACCTGAGGAGGAGAAAGACCTGATGTTGGACATGCATGGATAGAGAGTCTGAATGAGCATCATGGAGGCTCTGATGACTGCCTGCTTCACTTTAATTATTCTTCAGTCTCTTATTGATAAAAGCTCTTTAAAGGTTGTTGCTGCTTGTTTCAGGCTCTCAGCATTCAAAGGTCACAGCAGAGGATCCATTAAATCTGAGCTGGTCTATTAAACTGTTGAGTTCCAGGGAGGAGAAGAAAACATCCACTAAAATAAGATTTATTCTATTTTATTCCTCAGAGTTCCACCTACTTAAGATTTGATTATTGTTTTAAAGAGATGAAATGTGTTTAGAAGGGTCCGTCCATCCGTATGTCTGTCCCTCTGTCCGTCCGTCCGTCCGTCCGTCCGTCTGTCCGTCCGTCTAACTGTTCTTCTGTGCGTTTGTCTGTTCTTCCGTCTGTCCCTCTGTCCGTCCGTCCGTCCGTCGTGGGGGGAAATGAGCAACTTGGAGGAGGTCTGCGTTCTCTAACTGCTTTCTAGTGTTTTTCTTGGGGTTGGGAATCTTTCCTAATTGTTACTACGGGTCTGAAGACCATCCTCTGGAGGTGTTCTGGTTGGACTCCTGCTGACTCTGCCCATTAAAGGAGATTGCTGCTCTAACATCCGGCCCACCTGACTCCTTCCTTCTGTGTTTCCACAGATCCTGATCTAGTTTTTCTCACCCTGATCTTCTTTGGATTTTTGGTGCTCCTCTGGATGCTGATTCTCCTCAGACTCCCAGGAAGATCCTTCAGCTCCCTCTCAACCAGCAGCCTTCCATGTTCAGCCGGGTTCTAACTAACTTGTCCTTCCAGAGTTCCTGTAGCTCCGTTTCAACCACTGTCTCTTCATACTCATCAAATAAATCTCCTCAGGATGTTCTAAATGTGGATCAGACCAAAAACCGGGAAGGTTTGATTAGATGTTTATATAAAAGCTTTCCCTAGAGAAGCTTTCCTCTTTCCATTCAGTGTTTAACAAACACCAACATTGACGTTGATCATAAGAGTTATTTTTGATAAATGATGTTGAGCATTAGAGGAAAACTTTTTTCATCAGTGAAACGGTTTCCATCCAGATCTCTGTAGAACTTCCCAGTCCTCTTTGGACCTTTTCTCCATCTACAGCCTGAACCGTCTCCCAGTTCTTCATTGTGAATGGATCCACTCATCCGTCTGCATGTAGAGCACCGAGTCAGATCCTGAGCAGACTTTGACTGGATGACTCGGACACTTGGATCGGGTCTGAAGCGTACGGCGGAAGCTCTAGTTTATCTTCCAGCATTGCTCTGAGTTCAGCTCCATCTTTTCTCGGCTCCCTGTTCCTGCTAAAGCCAAACATCACGGCGTAGAGCAACACCTTAAAGGGACGTCGTCACGGTTCTCCATCATAAAGCTGCTCTGATTTTTATTGTATCTCAGACAATAGATTGTGGTGAATCTCATTACTTCCTTCAGTAAACCTGCTCTGTCCAATCTTTTCTCTGCATGTCCATCTAGCGGGGTTCAGAGGAAGCAGCTCTTCCTCTGCTGCTCTACTTCTGCATCCCCCAGCTTCTGTGCTGCGTTGCTGGGAATGATTAAGTCCATTAACCAATGAGGCGACTTCTTCAGGAAACTAAAAGAACTGAGTTATAATTAGGATCCAAGAATGGGAGACACATTACGTCCATCTTCACACTTTGCTTCTTTTCAGATATTGTCAGAATCATTATCTTCTACAGATAACTGCTGAATGTTGGTCTGTCTGTCAAATCATTTTTATTTATAAATAAATAAAAATGTTTACAGATTGGAGGATTGATTACCTTCTAAAGTTGTTTGAGTTATTCCCCTTTATTGGATCCTATCCTATATTAAGCTTGTTTATTCTTTGTATTATCTTTAGTAGACCCTGGTGAACGTAACCCTCTGCAGGTGCCAGGAACTCAATGTTTTTCATGTGTATAACTAAGGTTGCTGCCTGCATAAAGAAATGAATGTGCATCACTGTATCAAGCTGCAACTTCCTCCCATCTCATTCAGGTAGACTGACAGCAGGATCTATTGGAACTAGGGATTCCTTTTTTCCAAAATAAGTGAGGAAGACAGCAGAGGTGCTTCAGAGCGGTGGGAGAGTGGAACTGATGGCATTCCTGCTATTCTCCCTGCGGGGAACGTCTCTGCTCTTTCTCACAGGTTTTTGGAGAAGTGTTTGGGTGTTTAAACCTAACTTTATTCATGCAGAACAAGGCTGAGATTCATATTTTCCAAGATGGAAACCAAAAACTCTTTAGGCCGTTGGTCCTCCAGACCAGACAGACCTGATCTTCTCACCTTATGTTTGCTGAGGGTCCCAAAGTCATGAGCAGCGTCCTGAGAACCTGAGAACATTGACACAGAAAAACACATTCAGAGAGTTAGAAACATGGATGATGGATGGATGGATGGATGGATGGATGGATGGATGGATGGATGGATGGATGGATGGATGGATGGATGGATGG